TCTGCCTGAATTTTCATCGTCCATCGACTCGAGTCGAGGTTTGCGCTTGTTTCCGGTCGGTGCGACCGTCGAATGTGAAAAAGACGAAATGGATTTCGGATGGAGCTTTACGTTTGCACGCAGCCCGCAGCAATAAACGTCTTCTTCCAGAAGAACTTAAGGATTATTCCGAGAAGAAAACTTCTTAGGGTTGAGGAAGTTTCCGGCCGTTCGATGTTCGATTTTTCTTTTGCTCAATGGCACCACCTGTCGGAACTTTCAGGTAATAGTCGTCGCGTGGTTTTCGACCAATAACGGTGTCGGGTTGACCAGGGTGATTGCGAAAATGGGGGAAATGGTGAAGACGCAGTTTTCAGTCCCACGATCTGTTGATATTTTTGGAATATTACGCACAAAAACTCGGAAGGCATGAACTTCCAAAGTTGACACGAGCGCTTTCCGTTCGCAATTGCCAGAGTCGATCCTATTTTCAAATTTTGAGAAGTGAATTTCGTGAGCCCCATGGCTCGTACGGATTGCAGGCAACCACTCGGAGCCCGCATTGGGAAGCATCGCGATCACATGCTATTCATTGCTTAAATATTTAATTGGCACTCGGTAGCAGAGTATTCATCTGAATGTCCATATTTGAGTAGGAGAGAGCACAATTGTTGCATTCATGAATTCTCCGTGGTCATATTAGTCGCACTTCCACGTCAAGAAGATGAAGGAGGAGGCAGACCAAGAGTGTGCGCGGGGGTAGGGGGGGAGGGGGTAGGGGGGGGTAGTTAGGCTGCGGTTAGCTTGCGTAGTACACAACTGCCTTCACCACTCGTATCATGAATATCTGTGTTCAAAGTAGGACGGATGAAGGAATCCACGTGCATTAGGCGAGCTCCTGTCTTTTTTCTATTCACTCATTCGTCGTGCTTGGTGCTGGTGCCGGGCAGTGGGGAGCAGCGTTTAGAACCGTCGTTTACGTATCGTTACGTTGCGAATGCGTTTATGTATTATCTGTTTGAACATCTTTCACGAAAGTGTTTCTATATAAAATACGAACATCAAAATGTGTCGATCGTAAACGGAAGCAGAAAATCGTGGAAAGAGCCCGGCTGGAAATGTCCAACTTCTCGTTTCTCGAATCCGAGAACTCAAAACGAGCCAACTCCTTCTCGAAGCAGAGATAATAAGTTCTTTAACATTTTCTTCGGTCGAAGATGGGTAAAGTGGCTTCAGCAGGTACTTTGTATTTCGATATTAATTCATATACGTATTGTTTGTTTTTTAATATCGAAACCACTGTATTTTGCTTTCTTTTGAAATAAAAGTTCAAAGATTACTTTTGCATTTCGCTTGCATTCGAAGTAATCACATCGTCCACCTCTGATTTGGTGAGTGAAAAATGGAGGGACAGGCCAATTAACACCCTTTTCACAATCCACGTAGATATCTCATGGGACGATGACGAGTGTCCCAACGAAGCGATTGCCGTTGTCCACCGTCGAATACGAGGGGTGATCGAAAAGTTACGGGACTGAATTTTTTTATTATGACGATGTGGTGAATCTTTCCAATTACTGACGGCTGTATCCTTCAGACTAGTTCTCTTCGGCATCTACACAAATTTTCTGGCGTTTCTTCCACTGCTGGAAACATTGCTGACACTTGACATTTGGAATCACCAGCAGTGCTCGCGTCGCGTTTACAATTTTGCTTCGAATACCTGAAATCTTCATTTCAGCGCACTCTTTAGCTTAGGAAAAAAAAAAAGGAAGAAAATCCTAGGAGATAGGTCCGGCGAGTTGGGTGGCTAATGAAGCACGGGGATTGCGAGATGGGTCAGAACCGCCGAAATTGGAAAATAAAGGAAATTTTAAGACATTTAAAGCAGCGTTACGAACGCGCCACGAGTGCTGCTGGTGAGGTGGGAGTTTTTGTTCTGGTCCCAACAGCCGCGGTACTCATCGTGTAGAAACCTTGCTCACTCCAAGATGGTCGTGTAAAATTTCATTAACTTTTCTGGAACTGATGCATACGCTTGCTGCAATCTCGCGAATGGTGATTCGTCGGTCTTCCATTAACATTTTCTCCGCAGCGACGACATTTTCTTCCTTAACAGCAGTGTTTGGTCGACCACTGCGGGAGTCATCTTCAAGGCTCGTTCGTCCATTCTTAAAGCGATCGATCCAACGATAGACGGTATTTTTAGATTCAGAAGATTCGCCAAAAACAACTTTCAAACGTTGAATAATTTCAGACGTCCTAACACCTTCCTTCCATAAAAAGAAAATGATAATTCTTTAAGAATTTACCACATCTTCCATGGCTGAAAAAATGTACCCTACGCGAACACTGGAAACTTCTTACTGACGCATGCCCAGTGAATAACATTTTGCAGTCGTGTTTATGACAAGCCTAAGCATGTGAGACCAACCTAGCGGTAGGCTTTGATCAGCCGTTGCAGTGGCAGAATAAAATTCCCAGAACTTTGTAAATACCCCTCGTATAATTTTTGTAACAATAAAGTAGCAATTGAAAAATTCAAAATTCATGAGCTGTGAAGGAACTGCAACTTTTCCTTACCGTCCTGAGTCACAGAGACCAATTAGTTCAAGGTGTCATTCATGACGTTCATGGTGGATTCAATTGCAATTTCAAAGTTGCAAGCCTGACATACTGTAATTTTGGTGCAACATGGTGCTATTTTCTATGGTAATTAAAAACAGGGTTTGAATCTTTCAGAGTTGAATCAGCAGAGTCTAATAACACAAAATAAAAGTTGCAAGAAAAAAAATCATTTAAACAGTACATATAAAAGTTTAAAACATGACTTGAAGTTCCTAATGGCAAAAAAGAAGAAAGTAGAACCTTCCTTGCCTTGACTCCCTAAAATGTGGTTTCAACAGAAAAATTCCAAAACATGGATAAAGAAAAATCAACTCCTGATCTCAAATACTGATGATTGAAGGGTTAAAAATAAGGGACTGCAAAAAAAAAGGGAAGAGAAACTATAAATAGCCAGCATAACTAATTTATTCAGACACTAAATTCTCTCCTTTGCCCAGATGTAATCTATTATGCTGAGAAGATGTTTGCACAATGGATGGGACTTCTTATGATTTTGAATGCTTTAACTTGCAACAATTTTCAATGTAACCTGAAAGATGTGATGAGTGCCTTCATGAGGAAAATAGAGATACATTAGAAGTACAACTTTCAGTTCTATTTGAGTTTTCTTCACAATAAAAACCTTTGCATGCAAACTTGAGAATTATACATGTGGGAAGATTATTTGGAATATCACACTCCTCCCTCATGATCACATCCATTAATCATAGTGAAATCTTCATAATTTCACTCCCACTATTCGTATTGTTGAAGTAGGCGAGTGGATTTCATGCTATACCAATCAGGTTCCAAACCAACTTTCTGGCAGAGTGAGCCCTCTGTATGCAATGAATTCAGTGTGAAAAGCAAAACCACATAGACAGCAACTGTAATTTTATGTTGGATGAATTCTCATACCCGTTAAAGTCACTATTATCTGCATAAAAGGCTGGAAGGCCTATCATTATGCTCAGTGAAAAAGAAAGGGGAAGTAGACAAAAGAGAAGGTTCACAGGCACAATCACATTTATCAAGATGGAGTTGCATTAAATCTTGTCTACTGTACGTACATTAGACAAATGTAAGTTCTTGAGATTAAAAATTACTGGCAAGGAGATACAGAACAATTGCTGTATGTGAGGTAAGTTTAAGTGCACAATTTCTTGAAGAGTCACTTATTATAAGCAGCAGCTTGAAGAACACATTCCTCTTCCATTTACCTTTCCTATTAGGTCCTCTGCAGCTAGTAAAAGATCCACTTTGCCAGACTTTCATGCATAGTTCTGTGAGGATTAGGAATTTTCCCACGGTATTGGGTTCCTTGATGTCTCTTTTCATGTCCCTTTCACACAGCAGCCCCTCCTATGAGAGATATATGGATCTGCAGGCCCTCGTATGACAGCTGACATTTGGATAGGTGAAACTTGAGACACAGAGTAAGCATAGCCTAAATCCCTTTTTAAATACAAAATGGGAAGTGTTCTACAGGGTGGTCCAAAAGTCTCCATACATAGGGAAAATTAACACTTTTTAACAAAATGTAATTTTATTCACAAAATATGCTCTACATGCTCTCTTCTTTTGACAAAGGCATTCTTAAAGGGTATCTGAAAAAAGAAAAATAATTCAATATGTATGTAGAGCATATTTAGAAAATAAAGTTACACTTTTTTAAAAAGTGTTAATTTTCCCTATGTATGGAGACTTTTGGACCACCCTGTATATCTTCCCAAGGAACTAAACTTAATATGGAACCAAATTTGCAAATAAGTAACCGTAATATAAATTTGAACACTTCAGATTATGTACTCCCACAACATTGGAGAATGCAACACAAGCTCATACTTCAGCAGTCAAAATGCATGCTCCACACAACTCCTTATGGTGGCAGATACATTAAAACCTTGCATGACACAGGCGTTAAATACTTATATGTTACTTCCTTAATTAACCCTTTCAGTGCCATACCCATATTTATACAGGAGCCACTTTGAGGAGGTACCATTCTTAGTTCATACTGTAGTGCAAGTAGATCTAGTCAATCAGGCAATTGTGCAACATCAATTCATAACCTGCACTACAAATGTGAGAGTGCATTGTTCAAATTAAAGCCATCCTTCCTAAAACTGACAAAATTCTAAAATAAACTATTACAAGGGGTACTGTCTCAAAATGAAACTCAGCAGTTAAAGGGTTAATGTAGAACATGAGGCATGATTCAAATTCTCACAAAGGCTGATCTAGACATCACTTAATTCATTCTAGCCTTAATTCTTAGGAGATACTTATTGCAAGGGGGTGATTGGTGATCAGCAAAAAAAACTTGGGCCTATTTTCATACCTTTTACATGTCAATGCATAGATTGCACTGACTCCTGATATCAACTAACCTTGACACATTTTGACTCATCAGATCTTTTAAAAATGACAAAATTTTATTCATACTGTAAGAATACCACAGAAATACACAAGATACATGCCAGTCTTGGTCAACTCCCAACACTGAGAGGAGCTCTAACAAGTCCAAGAAGAGTGCAGTCAGCTTCCAGGAGGGTCATGTCCTTCGACGAACCAAGAAATCGTGTTGAAAGCTCCAATTCATTCACACGTAAACGCACTTTTGCTCCTCTCACATACTGCCTACAAAATGAAAGTGAAAGTCATTTCAAAGATAGGCCAATCTAAAGACTAAGCTGAGCCATGGCTCATCCAAGGTGTACAACAAGAGAAGACATGCTTTTGGTTTCCATGAGAAGAATATGTAATAAAATATCCATCTAGATTATGGCATGGGCACATCTATCGTCAAAATGAAATATGCATTAATACAGCTTATGCAAATTTATTGAAAATAGGCAGCATAATCAAAAGTATATGGCCTCTGCTTTCTTCCATTTGGCTTGGCTGTGCTGATGATAGCGAAGCCAGGAGAAGGAATCTCTGATTATCTTTAGTAAATTAGAGACAATGCATAGTATTTGGCTTGGTGGCCTGCACCATATTATGCTACTCAAGAGGAAGAAGATACTGTGCATAAAAGGCAAAATGCACTCACTCTGGATGCTTAGCTGGGCGCCTACAAACACAGGGGAACTTCCAACCAAAATCAACATATAAATCATCTCCAACAACATGATAGATTTCACCTTCCACAACCTTCCCTTTTGGGTCCCCCATCTACAAATGAAAAATCAAATTTAGTACACCAACAACCTGAATTGGAGACTAGAGATCTACTTACAACCTACTGTCCAACATCAAAGAACACATTCTTTGAAAATCTTCTGTCACTTGAAATGCATGTGATACTTGGATCATTATAAAATCTAGAATTAGAATATTAAAATCCTCAACTCCATTTCAAACTGATAACTCCACAGTTTCAGGCTGGATCTCTTCTAATGATACCAAGTTGAAATGATAGTAATGAGACTCAATGTTTAAACTAGTTGCCACTGGCTTACTGAGCTAACATCCATCCTAAGCAAGTCAAGCAACCGACCTTGGTACAGTGGGCATTATGCCAGCATTTTCAAAGCAAATATAGAGGAAATAACTTCAAATGATTTGAACCTTTGCTTTGAATATTACTCAAAATTTTGGTGTTGATCACTATATCAAATAAGTTCCCCTGATGGCCCTTCTCTACTCATCCTCTCAGTAAATATTGCAGTATGCTGGAGTCAGCTGCCGTACTATGTCATGACAAGTAAATAAGCATTTCCATCATAGGCCAGGCCTGTATGTGCCTGATCAATATGAGCCTCAGCCAAAAAAGCTTGAACACTATTTCTTGGCCAGCCTAGTGTGAAGAATGGGAGAGTCTGAAGGATACCAAAATAAGGCACATAACCAGTTGGACAAAAATAGGATGGTATGTGGATTTGGTATCCCCTCACAATATATAGGCAAAAATTGATGAGGAACCTATAAAATCCTTGCACAAATATTCTAAAATCAGATCATACATGAACCCTTCTGAATAGGACAGCTCCTATTGTTAGTGTGTAGTTTATATATCACTGCACATGAATCAGGTCAATACTGTTCCCCCACCCTGCATGAAGAGCACAATGAGTTTCAGCTACAAGGGTAACTACTGAGGACAGGATCAAGTAACAGCCTTATGTCTTAATCCTTGGTCACCGACCTAGGCCCAGAGATTCTAGCATCCAACTGGAAACTGCTTTTGACCCTATTACACACCCTCACATAAAGTTGACCCTTCATTCTTGACACACAGGCCAATAAAACAAACTGTAATTAATTTTTTTTTAACGGTGGTAATGATCACATGAAGAATCAGGTTTTTCAGGATGCTCCAGTTATGTAGGCCTTGAGGCCTAATTTTGGCCTATAACGTTAAGGAAATTGTCATGGTAAAGTCAACTTTATCAAGTAACAGCCAAGTCAAAAGCGCCAGCAATAAATCAGTTCCAGGTGAAACAACCCGGTCGTTGTAGCTGAATGTAGACATGATGAAGTGCGGCACACCTGCATGAGCTTGGAGTTCCGGAGAAGAGTGGCAAAAGGGGCATGCTGAGATTTCTGCTCAGGAGTATTTATGAAGCTGGGATCAGAAAACCTCTCCATTGCTTGGGCGAATCCTCCCTGGCGAGGCTTTATTTCAGAATCCCCAGCCTCCTCACTTCCCGTACTACATGTTCTCGCGAGGATTTCCTTGAGAACACGAGGATGCCGAGTAGGTCTGCGAGCACTGGAACATAGGAGCCGAGGAGGGCAAGGCCGCAAGGGCCACTTTCTCATGATGCTGGTCGCCATCTTCCTCCGGTTGGGTCCGGATAAGGCAAGCAGTGCTGCCACCCACTCAGCATTTTCTTCGTCCATTGCATTCTGTCCCCTTCTGCCTTTCGTACGGGGTCAGTGAGAAGTAAAATTCTTTTGCATTTTGGTTGAGAACACATTTCCCTCACTTATCGATTCTTTTAACTGGAGTGAATCTTCAAAAATGCTCGGCATTTTTGAAGGAAGTTCTTTCGTTCGGTTCGCTAGGCATCGTTACCAGTCTTTCTAGGCCCAGGGCCAGGGCCTTAGGCATGTGCCACATGTGCCCCCGCACAGGGCGCAAAATCACCAGGGGCGCCAAAAACGTGAATATATGAAGCAATAATCCGGAAGCCACCCTCAGATTTAATTTAGAAAGAGGAAATACTACCCGTTTCGGCGTCATTTTGAACGAAGAGGGATTGACTCTTCTCCCTTCTGGGGTTAGGGGAAGGGGGGGGGCGCCGTTCAGTCTCTTTGCACAGGGCGCCGAAACAGCTAGGTCTAGTTAGGGCCGGCCCTGTCTGGGCCAATCCACTTCCGAGATCAACGAGGTCCAATTTCACGCAGTAAGACTGCGCTTGCGATGTGATTCTTGTCCTTCCACTACTGTGTGTGTGTGTGTGTGTGAATAGTGATTGTCTTCTGGAAGGCTCTCTTAGAATGTTGTTTCTCCTGTTTTTTATTTTATTTATTATGGGGGGGGGGGGGGGGGGGGGGGGGGGGGGGGGGGTATTGAAGTATCCCAGACGGGAAACCAAGGGGCGTGGGAGAAGGACTTCTGGGCCCAGACAGATGAGGAATCCATGCAATAATACTGTTGCTAGCGAAAAAAGTTCGCCGCAGAATCCATGCAAATCCGATCATACAGAATATTGAAACTTTGAACCATTCAAATTGAACTCTTTTTCTTGGTGTTTCAGTAATTTTCTCCCTTGCTCTTCCAGTTGTAATTGTAAAAGACTGCCATACTATAAACTGGAGTCCTCGAAAACGAAAAATAAATATTAGTAAAACACATTTCGGGAACTAAACTCCATTGTTTAATTTCAAATGACTACAGTCATGCTGTTGACAACAGCAATGTGCCATGTGCATCACAATTTTCTAGCAGAGCATGATTAGCTTTTAAAGAATCCATCCTTCCCACTGGTTCAAACCGTAGCCCCACGTGCAGGAAAGAAATAGAAACACCAGTGTCTCCTCATACTAGAGGATAGAGGCAAAGAAACCATGGGTCTTGCATGAAAAAAAAAATTATAATAATAATAAATAAAATAAAAAACAGGAGAAACAACATTCTAAGAGAGCCTTCCAGAAGACAATCACTATTCACACCCGAACGACTCGAGGGCATGGACGATTCAGGGTCACAGATGATCCTGGTCTTGATTTTTTTTAAATGGACCATGTGCACTTCTCGCACGCATTCCCATACCGCCTCACTCCAATTTGGGAGATGGACATTACTCACTCCTCAAACTAGTCACAAACAAGTTTTTTTTTTCTCGGCGGACACGAATGAAGGGAGGAAGCACCTACTTTAATTTCTGATGGAAGCTGGAAAGCCGATGCCTATGAGGATGGTGACATCTTCCACAGCTTCTCTACTGACTCGCCGAGGGGGATTGAACCAAGGAAGCCACAGGAGAAATTCTTCTCATCTACTCCTTCCTTGCAGTCCTCTCAAAACCAAGGTCAGACGAGATGATATGTGAAGCGGAGCCATGCGAAACAGACCACGTGATAGGAACCATGTGAACCAGAGCCATGTGACAAAGGTGCGAGCGAGTGAAAAAGAGAGAGCGTGTGAGAAAGAGAGAGACGGAGAGAGAGAGAGAGGGAGAGAGAGAGAGGGAGAGAGAGAGGGAGAGAGAGAGAGAGAGAGAGACCTCAGCCGGGTTTGAAGTCGACGACTTCAAAGGACGAAATCGACGCCAAGAATTTCATCCGTCTTCATCTCCGTCTCCGCACGAATTCCCTCTCTCTCCCGACTCAAAGTCATAATTGAGCTTAAAAATCGCCCGCGCCGTTGAATCCAATCTCCCCCCTGTTGCAAATTCACAGGTGCCCCTGTTCTGAATCTCCGAGCCCGAATTGGATCACGGGGTACCGACAATCGAATTTGGCATCCATTGGTATGCAGACGGGTAAGAAACGCAGCCCTTTTCGGTGCGCTTTCTTTGAGAAAAAGCAAAGAGATTCCTCGCGCCGTCGCCCCGATGTCTATGAGGCTTCAAACAACGTTTGCACGAACACTTCTCCAAACCGCTTTTTCACTACCGCTCACATGTATACCGAGCTCGAAGTCTAATTTGTTCAGGTGGCATATCGTGCGATAACGAAGTTGTTACAAGTTGAATGCGGCAAGCGGGAACTGATAAAAGCAGGGTTCAACATCGTCGAGGATCGTTCCGGGAACAGCTGGGATCGTTCCGGGATGATCCTTGTTGGTCCCATATTTCGCCAATATTTATGTGTCTGAAGTCGACGTGGGTCGTGATAAAAGTCACAGAGGAAATTGGGTTTCGAAAGTTTCCTATCCTCCGCCTGACCAAGAGTGAAAAAGGTGCTCGAGAGGGTATCAAAAAGTTTTGCAAAATTAATTTTTACTTTTCAAGAGCGTCATTTGTAAGATCAATCATCACGACGACGTTGTCGCGATAAAGTTAGGTCGCATGGCGAAAGTAATGTCCAGCTGGAGGAAACCGCGAGATGGACCGAATGGGATTTGCTCGAAATTGCACATGGCACCATCGCTTGCAACGGTTGGCAGGTGGTCCAAATTATTTCAAAATGTAAATTCATTGGGAATCTTTCTCTCTTCGGTGTGAGGGTGAGGACTTGAGGATTTCCAGAGAAAAATTCGTTTGCGAAATTTGTCGATACTCCCCCACAGATTAATTTCATTCTCCCGGCATTCGACGGTCGGTTAAAAATGCAATTTCCGACGGCACGCAATTTCCTATGCCAAATGCAGGTTCTTCCTCTGCACGCCGTCTCCCGATTCCCTCGTGCAAACTCCCCCGAATCCAGAGAAACCGAGAATCCCGTTCATTTCTCGTTTCCGCACTCGAAAGAGAATCGCCTGGCTCCGCCGAGACTCCCAGTTTTTAAGGACCGAACGCGAAAAGGACCCTTGTGACTCGACTGCCTCGTCATTGCAGATGGACCTGGCATGGACTTTCCTTCCATTCTCATCAACTGCATGCTTTATGTTTACCTGACAGAGATGACACGACAAAGCGTGATGAGTGGGCCGTGGAGATAGCGACAACATGCAACAATCGTACAATCATTGGGAATAACTAAGTAAATGTGACGCGTTACTGTAAATAAGTCATTTTTACTTGCGACTTGAGGCGTAACGAGTGAATTTTGCCAAGAGTAGCAAAAAAACTGTGAATAAAACCTCTATTTTTTTTTCAAGGAAAAAGGAGCTCCCTTTTTCTCCCAAGCGGGGTTGTTTTCCTTCCACAAGAGTATCTTGCCTATTTGCCACCTGTCTTTCAAGTTCATTGCGACTTAGCAACATTTTTTTTTGCGATCTGTCCTTGGTTGTCCCTGTAGGCGTCCATTACGAACAATCAGACGAAAGCGGAACTGCCCCGAGACTTCCCTGCTGGCAATGCCGCAACAATATTATTCGCTATGAACCTGCAAGGAAAATCTTTTTTTCTCTTTCGATCCACCAGCAGCTAATATTTGCACCAAACTCGAAGAAGAAAGAGAGAGAGGAGATCGAGCGCCACGCATTATGGGGAGGAGTCGAACGCGCCTCTGCTTCCTGGTGCCGCACGTGACGCGCTCTTCAGTGTAGGAGGGGACGAAGAGGTGAAGGATGTAGGATGGGAGCCTCGCGAATCGGAGCTTGCTTCCGTGCGATGGCCACTCCGTGCGATGCTAATCGCGTTCATGCGATGAGGGTCGTCTTCTTTCGAGGGGCACGGAAGGTAACTTCGTTTGTGACTGTAGCTTTGCTCGGTCAGGGCAAAACCATCTCAATTGGGATGTCATAAAATAAATTATTATAAAACAAAGCCTTTGCGCGATCACCTCAGAAGCAGCAAAAGAATTGTTTCTGAGGGAGAATTCACCAATGCTTGGTTTTGTGACGATGTACGCGATAGTGTCCGAACTTCGATGGTTTTACCCTATTTTCTGACGACAGTAACGTTTTCTGGTAACTACCTTACAAAAACGACACTCTCAGAGATGTAGATGAGGTATGAATCTCCTCTGAGACGTGTGAAGCAAATTTGGGTTGCATGTGCATCACATCTACGAAAGTTCCAAAGTGTGAAATCCGGATTGTGATTCTCCTGGGATTCAGGTGCTGAGCAGGTGTGAGATGAACGTGGACCAGGTATGAAAAAAAATGAGGTGACACGTGATAGGGATGGGAAGTACAGATGTGAAATTCGTGTGAGGCACACGTCTGCACATCTAAAACACAGTTCAAATTTCACACATACGGAAAATTTTAAGGTGATGACTATTTTAGCTAAATACTAGGGACTGTAACTAATTACTTCTTAGATGTCCATCACGAAAATGACAAAAGCTTTCCGAAGACTCGATTTGCAGAACGACCAGGGCCACATTTTTTGTCACATTCGGTTAGGGTTTTCAGAGTGTCAGTGATTTAGTTAGGAGTCGCAAAGGGAGAGGATTTGTCTGGCAATGAGCAAGGTCCTCTCCAATCCCATCAGTCCCATTCACATATAAACAAGTGTACACACATGCAAAAACCTTGTTTGTTTTTTTTGTTGAACACATTCCAACTTGACCCTGATCGTTCTGGAAATTGAGTCTTCCTATCGGCACAATTGCGCCTTCGATTTCCGACTATGCTGGCGCAGTTCACCGGTTTTCTTTCTCCATGATGGTCCACAATCACTGAATTTCGGCATCCCTGAAAGCCATCAGATGGCTCAATCGATTAGCCCTCTCGACCTTCTCGGTCAAATTGTTTCTTGCGTTTGCCTTCGAATTGTTGATGTTGCGCATGTGGTTTCCCCTTAAACTATGCAAACACTCTTCCCCTCAGAGGTTGCTTCCGA